TTACGGTGGTACTTACGGTGGTACTTACGGTGGTACTTACAGTGGTACTTACAGTGGTACTTACAGTGGTACTTCTAGGTACTTCTAGGTACTTACAGTGGTACTTCTAGTGGTACTTCTAGGTACTTATTGTGGTACTTACAGTGGTACTTCTAGGTACTTACAGTGGTACTTAGAGGTACTTATTGTGGTACTTACAGTGGTACTTCTAGGTACTTATTGTGATAATTCTAGATACAGCTGTAACTTAGTAATTCAAGGATACTACAGCATTATTCCTATGTAGTAAATGTGGTACTTCTACATACATACATACAGAGGTCATTTGTAGGATTGTTTGACTATAAAACATAAAACAACATTATGTAAAACAAACGTCTTTATTAATATGGAATAAGTAGCACAGAAAGGACAGTATAAATACATTTAATGCATATTTCAAAACAAGTTTCAAGGACAAGGGAAACACTGCAAGAACTAGGTACCCAACCCAAGTAACAAGAATTACACATTACCAGGTACTTACCAGCCAAGTACCAGGTACTTACCAGCAAGTACCAGGTACTTACCAGCAAGTACCAGGTACTTAACAGCAAGTACCAGGTACTTAACAGCAAGTACCAGGTACTTACCATAGGGACTGGCCCATAATAAGACAAAGGACTTTAACATAAGTACCAGTGATAACACCAGTAATTATACAGTAAGTACCAGGTACTTACCATAGGGACTGGCCCATAATAAGACAAAGGACTTTAACATAAGTACCAGTGATAACACCAGTAATTATATAGTAAGTACCAGGTACTTACCATAGGAACTGGCCCATAATAAGAAAAAGGACTTACCCATAAGTACTAGTGATACCAGTAATTATATAGTATACCATGTACTTACCAGCAAGTACCATGTACTTACCAGCAAGTACCAGGTACTTACCATAGGGACTGGCCCATAATAAGACAAAGGACTTTAACATAAGTACCAGTGATAACACCAGTAATTATACAGTAAGTACCAGGTACTTACCATAGGGACTGGCCCATAATAAGACAAAGGACTTTAACATAAGTACCAGTGATAACACCAGTAATTATATAGTAAGTACCAGGTACTTACCATAGGAACTGGCCCATAATAAGACAAAGGACTTACCCATAAGTACTAGTGATACCAGTAATTATATAGTATACCATGTACTTACCAGCAAGTACCTGGTACTTGCTGGTAAGTACCTGGTACTTGCTGTTAAGTACCTGGTACTTGCTGGTAAGTACCTGGTACTTGCTGGTAAGTACCTGGTACTTGCTGGTAAGTACCTGGTACTTGCTGGTAAGTACATGGTATACTATATAATTACTGGTATCACTAGTACTTATGGGTAAGTCCTTTGTCTTATTATGGGCCAGTTCCTATGGTAAGTACCTGGTACTTACTATATAATTACTGGTGTTATCACTGGTACTTATGTTAAAGTCCTTTGTCTTATTATGGGCCAGTCCCTATGGTAAGTACCTGGTACTTACTGTATAATTACTGGTGTTATCACTGGTACTTATGTTAAAGTCCTTTGTCTTATTATGGGCCAGTCCCTATGGTAAGTACCTGGTACTTGCTGGTAAGTACATGGTACTTGCTGGTAAGTACATGGTATACTATATAATTACTGGTATCACTAGTACTTATGGGTAAGTCCTTTGTCTTATTATGGGCCAGTTCCTTTGGTAAGTACCTGGTACTTACTATATAATTACTGGTGTTATCACTGGTACTTATGTTAAAGTCCTTTGTCTTATAATGGGCCAGTCCCTATGGTAAGTACCTGGTACTTACTGTATAATTACTGGTGTTATCACTGGTACTTATGTTAAAGTCCTTTGTCTTATTATGGGCCAGTCCCTATGGTAAGTACCTGGTACTTGCTGTTAAGTACCTGGTACTTGCTGTTAAGTACCTGGTACTTGCTGGTAAGTACCTGGTACTTGCTGGTAAGTACCTGGTACTTGGCTGGTAAGTACCTGGTAATGTGTAATTCTTGTTACTTGGGTTGGGTACCTAGTTCTTGCAGTGTTTCCCTTGTCCTTGAAACTTGTTTTGAAATATGCATTAAATGTATTTATACTGTCCTTTCTGTGCTACTTATTCCATATTAATAAAGACGTTTGTTTTACATAATGTTGTTTTATGTTTTATAGTCAAACAATCCTACAAATGACCTCTGTATGTATGTATGTAGAAGTACCACATTTACTACATAGGAATAATACTGTAGTGTCCTTGAATTACTAAGTTACAGCTGTATCTAGAATTATCACAATAAGTACCTAGAAGTACCACTGTAAGTACCACAATAAGTACCTCTAAGTACCACTGTAAGTACCTAGAAGTACCACTGTAAGTACCACAATAAGTACCTAGAAGTACCACTAGAAGTACCACTGTAAGTACCTAGAAGTACCTAGAAGTACCACTGTAAGTACCACTGTAAGTACCACTGTAAGTACCACCGTAAGTACCACCGTAAGTACCCACCGTAAGTACCCCTGTAAGTACCACCGTAAGTACCACCGTAAGTACCACCGTAAGTACCACCGTAAGTACCACCGTAAGTACCACTGTAAGTACCACTGTAAGTACCACCGTAAGTACCACCGTAAGTACCACCGTAAGTACCACCGTAAGTACCTAGAAGTACCATACACTGTAAGTACCTAGAAGTACCACTGTAAGTACCACTGTAAGTACCACCGTAAGTACCACCGTAAGTACCACCGTAAGTACCACCGTAAGTACCACCGTAAGTACCACCGTAAGTACCACCGTAAGTACCACCGTAAGTACCACTGTAAGTACCTAGAAGTACCACTGTAAGTACCTAGAAGTACCACTGTAAGTACCATGGACTTACCGGCCCGTAATGTAAAGTGTTACCGTATTTTGTACCTGTAGAAGAGGCGTGTCTCAGTCAGAATTGTAGGCCAACCTTATTCGTACCACTGTTAGATTTCATAACACTTTGAAGCAACTATAGTTAAAGTTCTAACTTCATTCATACGTATGCAGAAGCCTGTACTTTTCCATTTGATGTTTTGATTTCTGAAGGCCAAGCTACAAGCACACCGTGGCAGCTGCTGATTGGAGGTCTCTGTTTCTCCTGAGTATATTATCACTTGCTGTCTAACATTTCTTGTTCGTGTGTTCGTGCGTCTACCATCAACAATAAAACAATAAAACACCTAACCTTCCTAACACCACAGTGGGGAAATTTCAGTGTTGCATCAAAAGTTATAGAACAGTAGGAATGAGGAGCACACCGCACAAGATAAGTGAATAATAGCAATAAAATAAAACAAAATGTCTAACTCTAGCATCAAAGAACAAGCGTAAAAACAATTCTATCTTTAGCATAATAATAATAATAATAAAGTATTTTATTCATTTTTTGTCTTGTTTGTTGCTCTTGTGCAAATTATTCTTCTGCTTTACACTTTCAATACGAGTTCTGCCGTCTCACTTCGACAATTGGGACAGCTTCCCCACAAAGATAATTACAGTATGAATAAATACAGTTTGAAGAAGGATTCCCTAAATATTTTTTCCATCTTTGTAATTTTTTTCTTTAATTTGTACATGTTTAAGAAAAAGGCCGGCAACAGAATATTTTCTTCTTTCTGCTCCTTTTCATTTGTGTGACTGGACTAAAAATATTTGAAATGTAAATGTTGTATGTGATGTAGTGTTATGTCCAAAAAAATAGACAATTGGAGGAGGATCTTGTTTCAAGTGTAGGATGCATCTGTAGTCTTCTTTACATGTTTGCACTACAGCACCAAGACCAAAGAGATTAAAAGTGTGATGCGACCTTTGTTACTACAAATGTGTCGTGAATATATTAAAGACAAACAGAACGACGAGTGTGTCCTTTACGCCCTCACTGTGACCCTGTTGTGTTTACCCAGGTTAGCGTGCTCCTCCCATATTCGCCACATAGTCCTGTTTCCTAAAACCATTTTCTCCCCTGATAACCCCTGACGGGCCATTTCCCTCTCATTATAGATGCATAGAGGAGAAAATCTCACATGTATTGGATAAAAAAGTTTAGCAATACTGTATAGAAATGAAGACAAGGCAGCGGCTTTGCACTTGTACATAGTTTATTTACGAGTCCCTTCAGATCGAACACAAGGAGATAAAGCTTTTCATATGATTTGGAACAATGTGCATAAGAACAGAGACGTCATCGCTTAAGATACTTATGACGCATGCTTAAGATACTGTAGCAAGAATGTGTCAGAACAAATACCTTCAGTTCTTCAGATAATCATGTGTAGCAGTAATACAGATATAACAGGGGTTCACAGTATACAACATGCTGTATGTAGGTCAGGTTCCACAATACCAAAAAGTATTTATTTTTTTAACTATAAAAACATTTTGGTCAGAATCAGAATTATTTTTATTGCCGTTGTGAGTAACTGGAAGTCACAAACTAGTAAATTGCTTTGGCTCTCAGTGCAAACAAGATTAAGATTAAGATTAAGATTGATATCCTTTATTCGTCCCACAGCAGGGAAATTTCAGAACAGTAGGAATGAGGAGCACACAGCACAAGATAAATGAACAATAGCTATAAAATAAAACAAAATCTCTCTAGCAAAACTCTACCATCAAAGAACAAGTATAAAATCTTTATCAAGTTACAACAAGTTATAAAAGTAAAAACTGATTTGTTGTTATTTTTGTTGATCAAAGAGATAGAAGAGATAGTGTTTAAATGTATTTATCCCTTTGAGATCAGACAGAGAGAGCAACAGTTACCACATGTGGTGCTGAAATCAAGCAAAACATGTTCCGCAAACAGAACCAACAACCACCTCTCTCTCATCTGCAGCCCACAAAGTCACACTCTGGGACCTGCCTGTACTTCTGATGCTATAAGATGTATTTACATTGCTAATGGGCTCCCACTTAAGAACAAAGATGTGCATTCCTTTGTGACGCTAACCCAGGTCAGGCAGGTCAGCGCTGGCACCGGTGAGGCCAACAACACACGACGCAAACGCACATCTCACAGCCAAGAGGGATTCTGTACTTTCCAATCGCTCATCAGTGAAGTCTTCTCTCTTCCATCTGAGAAGCATGAAGAAATGAGTCAAAACTCCAACATTAGCCCCAGAGGGATTAACTTCTCATGAGCAAAGAATGTCCAAACTACAGCGAGGATCTTAAACATCAGCACAGCTCTTTTTACACAAAGTCTGAATCTCGCCGAAGAGTCTAAATCACAGACAGAGTATAGGCATCATGTTCAGGCAGCAGCGGAACTGGGCTGGTGGGAAACAGGAATAAACTCTAAATGCAGTTTAAAGTTACTGTTTTTGTTTTGTGAATATGGAATGTTGCCAAAGGCCGGTGTCGTAATGTGCCGGAGCCAAGTCCCGGGATGGTCAGGGCATGGTGATTAGCTGGGACTCACAGATGAACTCCGGTCCAGGCTGAGTTTCAGCTCCCCTCTGGTGTAAACTGTGGGTGGCAAAAAGATAAAACACTGGGCTGGCTGGCCACTGTTTATGCAGACAGTTTGTGGTCGACATCAGCAGCACTGGGCAAAGCCTCAGCAGCAACATTAGAGGCGACAGAACCTTTGGCACGAATAAAGCATTTCTAGCTGTTCCAGCGAGTTTGCATACTCTTGTCAAACGTTAACTTTGAATATGAAAACGATACAGATGTTACTAAAGCAGAGGTTTACTTCTCCACTGGAGGTCCCTGGTGAAAATCTGGGGGGTCTCGCTCCACCTGTCCCTGCCCCACATCCCAGTGTCAAAGAGGTGGTCCTCAGGCTCTTCCACCATCAATGCTTTATACTGAGGACGTGTGAGACAACACATATGAGCGCTCTGCCCAAATGTGCTCTTACTGCATACTTTAGCAGCACAAACACAGGCGTCCTGTTGTGTGGTCCCTTTATTAGTCATTTTAAAATGCAATTAAAATGACTACACAACCCAATTTGAAAGTCTTTACCCATTGCAGAACATTTAGAAGTTTATTATGGCAATGCATTAGAAAATTTTATTAGGTGCAGTAGAGAAAAACAACAAGAAAACATCTCCATATTGTTGAATTTATGTTTGTGTAATTTAGGATTAAGATTAAGAGATCCTTTATTTGTCCCACAGTGGGGAAATTCCTGTGTTGCATCACCAGTTACAGAACAGTAGGAATGCGTACTCAGCACAAGGTAAATGACCACAGCTCTATACTAAACTCTAGACTAAATAAAATAAAATAACATAAAAATAACATTTCTAGCTTTGGCTTTTGCACAAAAGGAATGAACATCTCTTCACTACTATTTCAACTGAAAACAAGAATTGAATTACTTGTATTTCTGTAAATATTTAGAGTGAATCCTTCAGTGGAGGCCAAAACTACAGATCCTCAGATCAGGCAACTTCACAAAGAGTCCAGAGACTTTGTCCCAAAGGTTCACAAACAGACTTCAGTGGTGATTTCAGACAGCTCAGTGTTCTATCTTTAACAGAAGAACATAGGATCAACCCATTGCCATGCACTGGTTATGCGACTGTGCAACCGAAATCCCCTGTACTGTTCCACACATAAATCTGTGCTGCCGTGACTAACTTGCTGGTAACAGGAGCTGAGGCGGGCATTCCACCAAGACCGTGTTGGCCGCCTCAATGTAAGAACGGCCCAGATCCTCCATGGGCCCCGAGGGAACCCTCTGACCAAACAGTGAGGTCAGCTCTGCTCCCATCACACAGCACGGATTACACATAAACACATATCAGATAAAGTCCACAAACTGAACATGGATTAAGTCATTAAGAGTCGCCCTCGTCTCCTGACACTTCCCAGGAGCCCTCACTTCAGTCACTATTTGGACTATTTGGACAAAAAGTTACATTGTACTTTTAATTACAAGTTGAATAAGAGAGCTAATGTATCATGTACTTCTCTTTTACTCCATCATCAACTTGATTTTAATTTATTTCTGACAAAAAGAGTCTTCTAAGGGTCAGATTTTGTGAACAAATCAGGCCACAACACATTTTATCTTTTGGATATGTGTAAGAACAAGCAATTTGAGTCACTATTAGACACTTTGGGATGATAGCTGATTGGCTGAGTGAGGTTGTTCCTCTCTTTTTCACTTTTTTGTTTAAAAAAGCACATCTAAAGAAATATTTACAAAACTAAAACAAGGGTTTGACCTGAACTTACATGAATTTTATTACATCAGTATCATTTATTGTGGTTTGAAAGTTATGTATCTCAAGTTCTTCAAATGTGTTCTTGTTTATTCTTATGTTCTATGTTTTAATCACAGATACAAAGCCTGTTTATATAACACTCCCCATTATTCCTACCCTAACCAAACGTTAAATAAATGTCTCCTGAGTTCGATCATAAAAATGGTAAAATGACGCTGTTGAAATCACTCGCCAGCATGCACCTGCACCACTCCAGCACATATCATGAAACTTTATATTCCCAATAACTTAGAATGGCGTAACACTAGAGTTTTTATTGTATATCAAACAGGTGGTGATGACCTTGAACCATTAAAAGCCATTGTACCAGACGTTGGTCTGTATTAATCAATGTTTAAGCATTATTACTGGTACATATATTGCTAAACTTGCAGACAGACAAATGATGTACCCCCCATAAGTACTTAAAGAACATTCTCACACAGTCACCAACATTTTTTACTTTTACTTTTTGGACAGTGATGTTAATCCAGAGTCGTTTGTGTGCAGAGAAGAACCTGTTGGAAATAATTCATCATATGTCACAATTGAGAATCTTGGGATTTTCTTACATTTTAGAGGCCACACACATTCAGATTGAAGCTGTCCGCTACCTATTTATCAGAATTACACAGAGAAACCCAGGGGCCTATGGAGACCATGTACGTATGGATTTGTACACTGTACATAAATGTGCGTATTTATAGCATTTTATGTATGTTTTTATTTCTCAATGTTTTAATGTTTCCCAATGCTCTTTCTGTGTCTGTTAAGCACCCTGGGTTGCTTCTTTATGAATGGTGCTTTATAAATAATTTTGCCTTGCCTAGATAAAATACAAGAATAAGTAAATATTAATGGTATCTATTTAATGTGTTCCTTTGGCTACACTTAGTACATGTAGAATGCTTTGTGTGGAATCGTGCAGGCCACCTCCAGAAAGATACATTCTGTGACTTGAAGACAATATCAGGGTTCCTCATGGATGAACTTGTGGAATTATTATAGTTATTTTACTAGAAACACAATTTTAAATTCAAATGTATTCTGAACATACAACACTATGGGTATCACTCAAATATGCTGTAGTATTGGTGTAATTTCTTTGTGTTTAAAAACTGTTGTTACAGCGTTACAAAGTTCTTTGAATAATTAAGTCATCTTTATTTATATAGCACATTTTTACAGAGGGGCAACAGTGGCTCAGTTGGTTGAGCATTGAGCCTTTGAGCCTGAAGGTCGTGGATTCGAGCCCACCATTAGAACTACTTCACTACTCCCACTGATGACTGCTGTCGTTGTGTCCTTGGGCAAGACACTTAACCCCACTTTGCCTGAAGCTCCACTGAACGATCTCAGCTCCTGTGGACTCACCACCTGCAGGAGGATCAGTGAGGGGCTGGTGCTCTGTGTACTGGGTGCAGCTCTGACTGCCACCCCCCCGACCTAGGAATGGATTAAGGGGAAGAAAATGGATGTTCACCCAAAGCGCATTACCATGTTTAGAGATCAGATATTCCATGTTGTTCCATTCTCTCTTATTTTAGTATAGAGTTATCATCCATTGATCTGTGTGCTCCTCATTCCTACACATTCCATGCAAAACTGAAATTTCCCCACTGTGGTACGAACGAAGGATTTCTTAATCTTAATCCACTCAGCCACCGTGTAAGAAAGCTTCTTTATACTTTATTAAAAGAACCTTCCAAGCCTTAAACATAAGGACCCACAAAAGGGCTCCCCATAAAAAAGCCTTAGACCCACTGTCATTATGTAAAAAATTATAAAAATCTTACAGACAGCATGACAGACACTAAGCCAAGTACGGCCTTGTATAACCATGACCAACATGGCGAGGTGCACGGCCAGTATTGACTTTGATTGAGAAAATAGTATTATGTTCATGACTTCTACTAAAAGATTGTAATATTATCACGGCTTTGGGTGTAATGTTAGTTTTGAGCGAAAAGACTTCCAGCTGAGGTGGAGCTTTACGGTGATCCTACATGCAGACATCTCAGTGTCATTTAGTATCTGTTATTATAAAGATAAACTCTATATCAGCAATTTGACCGCTCAGCAGTGGCCGAGGTCTGATTCTACACCCAAACATCCATCATTATACTATTAGGTTCTCTTAACGCCATCTTATCTAAACCACCTTCAAACACACATTATAATAGCACTGTTGATTTTGAAGCCCTGCACTAACTCTGATTGTAACAAAACACGCTTTGTTATGGGCAAAACTAATATTGTTGGATGTCTTCAATGTTGCCTCGGCGTTTGGCTAGAGCGCTTATCACAGTCTCCATCCATGACTCCTAAAGCACGCATGATTTTAAAGATAACTCCACCATATCCATATCATTTCAGAAGGTTCAGCATAAAAGAAAAGTAGCTATTGTAGGTCTACACAAGTCTATATGAAATCTGGGTTAATTCTGTAACACATTTGGGGCATTTTTCTATCCAAAAGCAAACAAAACAAAACAACAAAACTTAACAAACACAAACAAATAGCATTTCAAAAGTGGGCAGGTCATTAGGGTCATCATCTCACCTCACCAGCCAGACGAGAGGTCTCCAAAAGGGTCAAGTCTACTGCCCCTATAGGTCCTGCATCAGGGGTTGAGTTTAAATAACTTAAAAGACACAGATGAGCCAAATATGTTTTAATCCATCACTTTAAGAATGAAGACGGAATCAATCAAGAGAGGGGGCCATCAGATCGCTGCCACCTAAATCACCGTTGCCTGTCAGGTGATAAGCCGCAAAGGGCCATTCTTTGTGTTCGCTGGGCATAGTGGAAACCTGTTGAAAAGGCGACTAAATTATTGGCATTTGAACAGCTGCAAAAACCTGCTCAATGTTGTGGCTCTCCTCCAACTTATTATTCTTTACGTCCATTTGCAGGGACAGCATGCCAAGCAAGTCCGTCAATACTGGTCCATTTGTGAGGGGGTGCATATTGACATTGCCTAACTATTTCAATTATGGTTCACAATGAAAAATATTGAGGTCAGGCAGAGTTATAGAACGTTTGTGAGCTTTTTCTCATACTAATTGACACACTTCAGCTGCTCAAACTTTGAACTGAATCCCTACTTGGGCCAGCAGAAAGCAGGCAGATGCCATCAGCGCTCACAATCCCCTTACTTTGAAACCCAAGCCTCCACATGTAAACCGCAGTCCAGGGCACGAGTGAGAGGAGCCGTCTGCTGGACTCGCTCTAGCCCGAGAAACACCGCCCTCCGTCTGCACACCAGCATGTCTGCAGTGCAACGTTTGAGGAGCTCAGCCAAGACAATTAGATTTGGGATTAGATATTATTAAGCTCTGAGATGGAAGCGCCCTAAAGGTTGCCTGGTCCACTCCTGGGCAGCTTTGGGTCTTTCTGTGCAGAGTTTTTTCAATGTGTGGAGGAAATGTCAATGTTGCAGCGCACATACAGGACAGTAGTAAGAGCACACAGGAAACATGTAAAAAATTCAAGTAGCTGCAAAATTGGAAATTGCAGTATCGCACATTGCACAGGATTGCAGTTTTTACAATAATTTCAATAGGCCCCTCCCCTCCATGGTCCAGACCAAGATCAAGATCCAAAGATCAATAAACAACATATGATTAAACAGTGGAAGTATCTTATCCCGTGTGTAGCCTTGTTTACAGCATAGACAGGGTTGTTGTTGGACACAGTTTATTCGGTTAAATTTCCATCCATCCATCCATTTTCTTCCCCTTAATCCATTTCTGGGTCGGGGGGGTGGCAGTCAGAGCTGCACGAGCCCCTCACTGATCCTCCTGCAGGTGGTGAGTCCACAGGAGCTGATCTTTCAGTGGGGGCTTCAGGCAAAGTGGAGTTAAGTGTCTTGCCCAAGGACACAACGACAGCAGACATCAGTGGGAGTCATGAAGTAGGTCTTACGGTGGGCTTGAACCCATGACCTTCAGGCCATGCTCTACCAACTTTAGGAAATGTGAAATAAAGAACTCAATTAGACTTAAACCTATTGATTCCTCACATTTCATTGTCCATTATGAATGATGTTTGTGCCTGGATTTACAGCTGAATGTAGTGCTTTAGAGCCAATCATACAAAGCCGTGTAAACATGGAGCTGCGAGTCATGGGAGAATGTGCAAAAGAGCTGATCAAAAAAGAGTAAGATTTCTACATTTTCAAAAAGAATACATATGATTGTTTTCTTTCTGTTTTTGCTAGATGCCCTCTGGTCATCTAATTTTCCACTTTCATCAAACGTGTGTCACATAGTTTTGTGCAAGTGCATTGTCAATATTTTCTCACTTTTATAGAGATACACAATTTTTTTCCCAACAGGGACAATGGAAAATGGTCTGATGACCCTGTATATGAACCTAGGTAGGTGCTGTCAACGGCCTCATGACCAAGGTACTTAACCTTACACTGGCTAAGTCATATTCCAGGTGTGCAGCAAGATGCGGTTTGTCTGTGTGTGTGTGTGTGCGCATGCATGTGTGTGTGTGTGTATGTGTGTGTGTGTTTGTGTGTGCGCACGTGTGTGTGTGTCTGCTGCGTTTCCCCTGAAACATGACATTGTTGTGTAGTAGTATGTTCATTTAAAACCTGCAGATAGAACATAACAGACAGATGGATGAAGCAGATGCTTATATAATCCAAATCACCTCTGCATTCAACCCAACATGTGGGGCAGCCAGTGGGGCAAAGGAGCCTCGGTTTGTGTCCAGTGGTTTGTGCTCGGGTCTAAACAAAGGATTCAAAGTACATGTTTAATGACAGTATTTCTTACTTTATTTGACATCAGTCTACAATGCACTCTTCAATATACCAATATCTAATGTAATTAATTGCATACATGGTTTTGTGTGTATTCAAGTATATATATAACTAATATTTTGTAGAACATATGTGTGTGTGGAGACATAAGTTAACTGATACGGCCAACTCGTGGAGAGCTATGGCCTCTCAGATTTATGCCTATGTGCAGTCGTTCTTCAAGAGTCCAGATCATCCAGGTTGAATATCTGCCCAAGATGTCCCATGATTCTTCTAGACAGCTGAAGAGGCAACCTTCTGACACTGACGGGAATTTATGCTGCATTTCAGGAAGCAGTAGTGAGATTGGGAGAATGCACAATCTATGCACAACAGGAGGCCTCTCATTTATCATCAGAATGTGCTCTTTTCACTGCTGCTCAGTGAAATTAAGCTCTGGTGTGTGCTAGCAAGCAGTCATCCAGCACAGTCATGAAATGTTGGCACAATAACAAAGAACGTATGTATGAGAGCATTTTATAATCCAAACATTATTGACCTTTTGTCAAGTCAGTTTAATTTGAAACAGAGGGGAATATTTGAATATAATATGTACTAATGTATAATAGTACATCGGCCTCATAGTACAGACAATGTACATACATCACTGTTGTAAGCATACACATTTGCTACTACTACAACTACGACTACTACCACTACTAATAATACTTGAAAGGCCTACTTATTTGTATTATTATGCAATTGCTATAGCGCCTTATTAATAATAGGCCTATACTGGCCTTTCTAGACACTGAGGCTATGGTCAGAAAGAAAGATGCTTGATGCAGTGTGACAGTCCAAGAGACGGATAGAATTTCACATTCTATATTTAAGCTGGGACTTCTGTCGCTGGGCACTATTTAAATACCAATGTGAGTGTCAAAAGAGAGACGAGGGGGTACAACAATATGATGGACCTCTTCGAGACCAACGCATTTTTGTGTGATCTGCGTTACCTGGAAGAAGGAGACTATGAAACTCTACAGAATTTGGACCCCGCCGGAGAGTCTCTTTTGTATCATGAAAATGACAGCCCGCTGTCCACAGGCCAGGATCATGTTCAGTCAGAGACTGGGGGCGACAGCAGCGGAGACGAGCATGTCCTAGCACCGGCCGGGCTCCGGGCGCACTGCGAGGGCCAGTGCCTGACGTGGGCCTGCAAACTTTGCAAGAGGAAAGCAGCGCCCAGTGACAGACGCAAGGCCGCCACGCTCCGAGAGAGGAGGAGGCTCAAGAAGATCAACGAGGCCTTCGAAGCGCTCAAGAGGAGGACCGTGGCGAACCCCAACCAGCGGCTCCCCAAAGTGGAGATCTTACGCAGCGCCATCAGCTACATAGAACAACTACAGGAGTTACTGCAGCCAGAGGACGAGCCAGGGACGCAACACAACAGGCCAACGCCATACAGCAAGGAGCGACATGTAAGACCTTTCCAGGGGCCTATACTCGTGTTTTACGGTCCACCAGAAGCCATATGGCAATCAAAACAGAAAAAAAGACAAACATTGTCTGGCACAATATCGAATTACAAGTGTGTAACGCAATACGTGGTTTCCAGGGTGAAGTTTATTGGAAGCGCTCTGAATCCTGCTCTCCCCCCGAAGACCATTCCACCACAACAGTGGCAAGCCAGAAAGAGGGTATATGACTCATAATGTGATGACAATAATAAACAGAAGTAACATTGAGATGTGTGTTTTGTATTTCAGAGTCCATTGATGCGTCTTGCAGCCTATTACGGCTCTCGTCCATCGTGGACAGTATAAACAGCGAAGAGAAGAGCTTCACAGAGGACAGTTCAGAAAACTAACTTATTTGTTATCTGCACGATGGGCCACAAACTTGTACATACAATGTTTTATACAATTTTGTAAAAGCAATATGCTATTGATTATGTTTTTGTATATTATTTGACCAACAATAAATCTGTAAATGCTTTAAAATACAAATACTCGGAATGCAGGATCACATTATATTCTTTTAACCTCATGCATAACATGTAGTGTTTCCCGTCTGCATGGTTTATTTACACTTACAAAGGTCTTTCGAAAATGATCAAACTGGCACCAGAACAGCAGCCCTGATTCCACAACAGAAACACAACAACAGCTGTCTCTCTCACATGGAGCAAAGCAGGCCGAATCTCAGTTGTACCATGTTTGTGACATACTGACTTGAATTCTTATCATTACACAATCATATTGCACAGCAGCTATGGGTAAATATTTAATGAGCTGATGAAAAACAGCAGTTTCACGAAAACATGCTTCATTTGCGTTGAAAGTTAATCGCGGGCTGAAATGCACTATTCACTTTTCTTCCTGCTCATAAGAGCTTGGACTTAAAACTAAATGTCAACTTTTCTAGACAGAAACCCGATCGCTCTGTATAATGAGATTTTAATGGGCAGCTGTCTGATCTGAGTGTAGAAGCTTACTTTTGTCCTGTTGTGATTTCCTTAATCTGACTCTTAACTATTGTGCTTTCTCATGGTTCGAACACTTTTGATCGTACGACAATTTTCCTTCATAGAACGTGCAGCTAGTCACCGTCTCCTATGGGGTTAATATGAGTGGCCCTTCTGCAATATAGTTCGCAGAGCAATAATAAATGGGGTCTCTGTCAGGGGCCCCTGTCGCAAATGAGCAGAGTAGATGTAATAAGTCAAAGCACGATGTCGTTTAGAAGAATTAGGGCTCTGGGACGTGAGGGAGGTGGACGTAAAAGATCACCTAATGCCCTTCACTTAACTCTATCTCTGACCCTTGAGAACAACACAAGCACGTGGTCCCAGGAGAGCTCAGCATAGAGCCAGTGCTGCGCCCCCGCGCGCGCACATCAGATCATCAGAATCCAGCAGCACTTGTTTGGTTAGGTGCGCGGGATCACCAGAGATGTGAGTTGCCAAACGTTTTCTCACATTGATTGTGCGAAATATCCGCATTTTACGAGCTGTCAACAGTATCACCATCCGCAGCAGAGGTCAGGGCAGCACGGGCATACGGCTTAACCAATCTGCAGCCCGTGACCTGATGGACTTGTTCTGGAAAGGTGTCGTTCTGTCTCGCGTTTGGCACGTTCTCATTTCAACGTGGTCTTGTCGCGATATGAGACAGAGGCTGCAGCGACCACATGTCTCGAAGTTTAATTCCCAGTTTCTTTCAGATAACTGATTTGTAGCAATATGCATAAGAACAGAGACCTCTTAACGCCGATGCTTAAGATATTGATACTATAGTAGCAATGTGGGTTAGAACAAAGATGCTTAGTCCAGACAATACAGATATAACCGAGGTCTCCATTGCCTTTAATTATTTGAATGAGATTCCTTGAATAGCCTTCATGTTTGTCCTAAGTCCAAAGCATGCAGGTCAGATTCCACAGGCCCCAGATTACTAAAATATTTGTTGAACTTTTGAAGTTGTCTTAACGTTCAACCAATCCTACATTTCAAATTAACTTGAAATGTAACCAAATAAGATAGGCCTACAGTGGGTAAACACCTGGAACCCTGTTAAAGGGTGCCCTACATGGAAAGAAAAGTATGTCATCAGACTCAACCTAAATCTCCAAGAATAGACCAGTTGTTCAGTTGTTGATCTAAACTCGAGTGTCAATAAGAGTTAATGGTGGAAATTTGGCCAGTGCAGGGAACTACACAGTGGTGTCAATGGTGTGATTAGTGTTAAAGTGAGATTTTACAAACAGGCCACCTCATTTACAACACCTTTAGTGATGAGAGTGAGGTGTTTAGAGGGAGTTTACCTCTCTATGTGAATTCATGGGGGTAGAAATATTGCACCTTTATTTATTGCCTAAATAGGCGTGTATGTTCTGAAACATATCCCAAATGGTTTGCAAGTTTTTTGTAAGTATGGCTGGGAAAATGATTCTTCATCAGGTCGTAGTTGTTCACTTTGCGGCCATGATCTTCACAAGTTTTAAACAACAGCAGTATGTGATGCAGGGTGCAGCAGGCTGCTGGAGGCGTGAGTGGGAAAACACCAGTAAGTGCAGATGTGGGAAACTCGGCAGGGTCCTGGGGTTGAAGGGTAAGGGGGGGTTCAGGGAGGGGCTGCCGCCTTCTGCTGGGGCAGAGGGCTATGGTAATTAGATCTGACCAATGTGGGCCCTTGGCTCAGGCCAGGGCATATAAGAGAGCAAGTGGGACCCAGAGCCTCACATCACTCTGCATCAATTCTCTGCTTTGTTCTTCGTCTTATACAAAGGTCATGGATGTTTTTGCTCAGTCCCAGGTGTACTACGACTGTGCTTCTTCTCCGGACGATTTGGACTTTGGTCCTGGAGCTGAACTGACTGGCTCAGAAGAGGATGAGCACATCAGGGTCCCAGGAGCACCCCACCAGCCTGGGCACTGTTTGCAGTGGGCCTGCAAGGCCTGCAAACGCAAATCAAGCTTTGTGGATCGCAGAAGAGCTGCCACCATGCGTGAGCGTAGGCGTTTGAAGAAGGTCAATCACGCTTTTGAGGCTTTGCGCCGCTGCACCTCTGCAAACCCAAGTCAACGCTTGCCCAAAGTGGAGATCCTCCGTAATGCCATCCAGTACATCGAGAGTCTGCAAGAGCTGCTGAGGGAGCAGGTGGAGAACTACTACAGCCTCCCAGCAGAGAGCAGCTCTGAGCCAAGCAGCCCTTTGTCCAGCTGCTCAGAAGGAATGGTGAGTTCTGAACCAGTGGGATTTTAGGAGAGTTCAGAGACCTGTTGAACTTTTAGAGTTCAAAATGAGCCAATAAAGGTTAATTAATATAGTTTGTGGGCCATTGTACAGTGTAGAATGGTGGGGACTCAAGATCCCTTCTAAAACACAGTAAACAGTGAAGAGAAGTCTGGCAGCACAAATCTGTGTGCATTCCATCTTGACTCAATGTTCTGCGCTGCTGGCAGCAGATTCTGCAGATTTACTCTTTTACTAAAAGTGTCATCTTGCACAAACTGGTGTTGCTTCCACTGATACAATCGATTAGCCATGCTCCGAGCCGGGCAGTAGAGTGGGGCACCCGCTGCCACTGAGGCTTTATGGTTGATGTGAAACCAGAACACCCTTAACTGTGGTATTTAGGATTTACTGGGCTGTCCAACATTTTGGAAAAAGCATAAATGTACCTCCGTCTTTCCCTTCACCATAAATTTTTCTCTGAACATTTTAGTCCTTATGTATTGCGCGCTTCTATTTTGTTTGAATATGTCAATTCTTTTCAGATTGAAGGCAACAGTCCAGTTTGGCATCAGATGAATGCAAATTACAACAACAGTTATTCCTTTTCCAAAATGGGTGAGTCTGTGACACAAATGTGCTCAATGAAAATCAACTTACCTTAAATCAAGGGAACACTAACTCAAAAACACTTTTTTGTTCAGGTAATTTAACGGAGAAGTCTGCGGGTGCCTCCAGTCTGCAGTGTTTATCGAGCATTGTGGACCGTCTGTCTTCAGTGGAGGCCAGTGCAGGATCCACGTCTCTGCAGGACATGTCCAGCTTCTCCCCCATCAGCTCTGACTCACAGACCTCCTCACCAGACAGTCCCGGCACCAGACCAGTGTACCACGTTCTGTGAGCGCACAACTTATATGGACAAAGTCCTTTTGGATTCATAAAGCAGCTTTTGAACTGTATATAGAATTGTAAATATGTTACATTTATTTCTTACAACATTTTACCAAAATATAAATACAAATATTTAATTATTGCATCAAACAGTATTCTTGCATGTAGTACTTCTTATTTATGATATTTTTGAAATGATCTTGCTCTGTATTAATGAACGACATAAAACTAGCTTGTCAAGGTTGAGTTACTTGTTTTTAAATGTTTTTCTACAATGTAAAGTACGTAATAAAATATAGGTGTTTAATTTAACAATGCATCAATGTTGTTTACTGTAGTGTATCTTATACATCACATTCAGGACGCGGGCCGGTTCATATATTATATTAACCTGACTCAACAGCCCGTGTTTTTCAAATACAGTAAAAGCAAACTCGAATTTAGTTCATTTATCAAACACAGCAGCTCTGATTTTTGCTTTCCAACATGCAGTTCTGTAATTCTCCTCATGGTCACTAGAGAGCGCTGTTTTGCATGTTATTGGTTTGTTGTTGGAATGTTTGAAACAGCATAAAGCACCACCAATGTACACAAGCACATAGATTTATTTATACAAATATATTATGTATAACAATTGCATATCAACAGTGTGTTTTCCCCTTTTCTGTACGTCTCTGAACCATTCGCATCAAAAGTGAATTTACAAATACTTTGTCATAAGACCTATAGAAAAAAGATGTTTGAACATCAAAGGAAAAAAGGCCAATCTTCTTTTATGAAATAAGTTACAGGTGGAAATTTAAATTCTATACAAACCAAAGTCGAATTGCGTTTTTACACATTTGTAAGAATAAAAACTGAGATAATATATTTCATTTTAAATGAATCGAGGAACAACAGAAACAAAAGATAAAGCAACATTGGAAAATGCAGTGATTGGGACAAAGCTTAGCACCAAAGAAGAGGCGGGGAGTCACAGAAAAAAACTTTAAAGTGAAGGTACAATCAGGAAACAGGGTTAAATCACATTTCAGACGAGTGACGAGAGCTGCCACTGCTGCCCATCATGATTGTCCAAACAGAACATTTTACTACAATGATACATGTTACATCCATGAAATACAATAATATAAATAAAGAATAAAACATATGTTCTCTCTAATAAATCTGTGATAAATAGATAAATCTGAATAAAGCTAAATATGTTTTTGGACAACAATCTTTCAATCTGTCGGATCACATTGACTTCCTGTTTAATTGGACCATTTGGTGATTTCAAATTTGTCAATAATCTCTTTGCACAAATCTTTATGGAAGCTGCCTCATTATGCACGGGACCAGGGATTGGCTGCACATCTTTGCCACTGTGTGAAGTGAGTGAAAGTATATTGCAGTTTGAAAACTAATCAGTGAATGTTATTGCTAACTCTAGAAGATACAAAATCTGTTCTTGCTACAATATAAGAAGGTAAAAAACAGTTTACCACATTCATCCAGAAACAGGTCACAACTCAGATGAAGCTCAAGCACCAGTTGATTAGAAACACCACTGTATAACTCATAATGTGCCACGCTATACTATTAACCGATAACAATAGTGACTGGAAACAAAAATCACAAAGGAAGAACCGTTTGAACTCACAATCTTCATCTACAGTATGTCGGAAAGGTTACAACCAAACAGAAAGAGGTGTAAATGTTGACTTGTAGCAGTAGTTCGTCCTCTTTGCTTTGATATCGATGGTAAAAGAGCGTTGATAGTATAAAAGGTTTCTTGAGGAAGAGATTTTTTTCCTTTGGGATGTTTGGTCGCGCGGAACTGCTGCTGTCGCCCATTCACTTCTTCTTCTGAAACAACCTGTGGGTCGCACACAAGCAGAAGCAGACTGAGAGAAATGCAACATGAGCAGAGAGTGTATATAGATGGACAATGCTAACCCCCTAGCTCAATGAAGCCAAATAGAGAAGTGCTCAAGGACAAAGTTTTGCTCCAGCTCGCTGTGGCTCCTACTGATTTACCTTGAAAAGTAAATACATCTATGGTTTGGCGCTTTCTGTGATCCTAGTGTTTATATTTTGATATTGTCACTGTAAATCCAAATGTGAGCTATAAGGATTGGCCAATCAGGTGCCTTCATTTGCGGTGGAAACTGTAGCTTGGAGAACCGTCTGTCCCTGTTATGACGCAAAGCTAAAGCCATCGGAACAAATGCCCATATAAGGACTTTGCCTGGAAATGTATAGTGCGTCATCGTCATTTTCTAAGCTCAGTATCAAGACTAAAGACAGAGATAAACGCATCGCAAATAACAACACAAACACCACATTTTAAAAGAACATAATCTTGTCCACGTATAGGCCGCACTTGAAGATATGCTGCATGTTTTCATGTTGTCATGGAACACTGAACCAACTGAAGCATTTTTTGACAAGGTGTTTAAAGGCACTGATGACTCCTGTGATCAAAGCCCCCTGGTCTATTTGACAATAACATTCCTAATAAAACTATAGTAAAGATAATAAGAAGTACTATTTACAGTAGTTATTATGTACAGTATATAGCGGTTATGTGTATGAGTATGTGTATCAAGGACACAAAGTTAAAAAGCGCTTTACAATTGTTTCCTCTCACTCCACACAGTGATGGAAACAATGTCATTTTGTACAAGAAGTTACAGGAGGCTCTTGTCAGACCTATGTTATACGTTTTTATATTTTAACTGGGGCGACAGGAAGAAACCTATGCAGACACAGGGCCAAAAAAATCTGAAATATGCCAAGGCAATTAATTAAATTGCGACATTGCCAACAAGAAAGTTAAGTCTGCGCCACAACACACCTGCACCTGTCAGTAATTTTTTGTTGTTCTACTAAAATCAATGTTTTATTCCCAGCAGGCTTAGCGGAGTGTGACACTAGATTTCAAAGGTCCATGTAACGCGCTGAAGTCATCGAGCATGCACTGATAGAACATAATCCCTGGTCTGTTCCTTTCGCACAGCGGTTAAAAGCTGCTAAATGCTCCTAAATACGTCCTAAGCCCAGTCGTGCCAACAGCACCACAAGAGGTATCCTTGTGAGGATGTGGCATCAAAGGGCAGAGTCTGGAGACATGCCCATTTCAACATGGAGCCTGTAAAGGACAACTGCCTCTCCAAGCAGTGGTGGGCGATCTGGGAAAACAATTCATTCAAGTTTTCCCCTGAAATCGATATACGGCTAATTTTGTTTAGCCTCACATTGTGGGCACCAGAGACAACACAACCACAGACAACAATACAAAAACACAGGACATGCTGCTTGTCTTTCAGGGTTAAATTCTCCTGAACACCAATTCACACTTACGTCCGTGAATAGTTTGGTTAATTGTAATGAGCCTTTTGACAATTTATAGCAGTGGTAATACCCTCATAGTTATATTACGATCGCTATGATTTGTTGCACATATCTTGGCTTATCACTTATAAGACGTAGAATGAGCACTTCTGGTGTAAACTGAATGGTTTCAAATGTTTGACACCGGTCACAGGGTTACCTTTCACAGGGTTACCTTTCACAGGGTTACCTTTCACAGGGTAACCTTTAATCTTGACCAAAGTTGAGATTGCGATCTCTTGTCCTTGCACTGTGCACGTTTCAGAGTGTGATGTTCTACCCCAGTCCACACAGTGTGATGTACAGTGTACCATTCATAAGGTGAATGTATCAGCATGTACCAGTATGAATAATTCAAGTATTTACAGTAAATGTTTTGCACAGACGCACTAGCTGCAGTATAGCATGACGGGTACATTCAGGCTAAAATGGAAAAGATTGATTCTTTTGCTGTGCACAAAGGCTTCTCAAATGGTTAAAGATTAAGCAGAACAGAAACACAGACAGATGAAAAAAGTACCACAATGATTTTGTTCTTGTTATGAAAAGAGCAGCAGTTCCCTGTGCTTCGCTGCAGTGGCTATCTCCCAGTGTACCCCCCTCACCCTTAAAGACATGAAGCGCCTCACCTACGACATGTGGTTCTGCTGTGAGGCCTGGTTCTGCTGTATGAGGAGCTGCTGCTGCTGCCGCCGCCGCGCCGTGCGCAGCTTCTCGAAGCGTGCCTCCATCTCCTCCAGCACTTTGGGAGTGTAGCGCACCACCAGCTTCACACTGTCCTTGGCTGCTTTCAGGAGCTCTACAGCCTTCTCATGGTGCTCCCCTTCCACACTCTGCAGAGGGAAAGCAAACATGTCCCCTGTTTACATCATATGTGAGTGAAATAGACAGATGGCCCATAGAATAACAAATACGGAAGATACATTTTTTTAGGAAAACCTTGGCAGGACCCAGGCCACAGCAGAGCAGCCTTGGCAAAGGTCCTGGGGTAAGAGGGAGGTGGTCCTGGACCAGTCCCAGTCCCACCAGTCCCATGTACCCTCCTCTTTCACACTCCCACAGTGCCCTACCCTTCACTTTGTTTGCATAAGTTATGTGTTAACATAATGCACTGAAAAGTGCATTTTCTTATATTTTCTTTACCATTGTGAATCACTATTATATATTTGAGCATTCTGAAACTCAATATTGACCTAAAAATTGTCTTGCGCACACTGGGGACTTATGCAAATGTATTTAAATGTGGTTTTTACTGCAAAAAGCAAATAAAATGAATTTGATTCTGTATCTAAAGCTAATGGATAAAACAAGTCTACTTTCTCTCTTATAGAAACCATTTGCAGTATGTCACTGCTGACATTCACTTAAAGGTCGACATAGAGAGCACACCTCCTCTGTAGGATTTATAGACAAAATCATACACAAAATAAAAAACAGTGGGTCGGGGTGGGGGACTGTTGGAGTAATTCTGTTTTGAATTGAAATGATACATTACTGAAATAATTACTCCTCAACTGTGAATGAGCAAATTAAAACCTATTTTAAAGTTATTTTTAATTAATCTCCCCCTAAGCTCCAATCACAATTTGCAGTTATTTGATCAGGATCAGATTTATGAAAGAAATAATAACACGGACCACTCCATTGACGGACAGCAGCTGGTCTCCTCTCTTCAGGCCCCCCTGCCTCTCGGCCACGCCCCCAGGGATGATGCGTGAGATGTAGATGGGAGAGTTCTGTTCCTTTCCTCCCATCACGTTGAAGCCCAGGCCCTCGTCTGTTTTGGGAAGCTCAACAACTCGCGGGTGAGAGTGACCTTCACTGGCTGCGAACGCTGCAACTGTGGCCTGTGCACGGAAACATAAGGTTTGTTAAGGAATCAGACAATAAGACAAAATATAGAATTTCTTTATTACTGAAGGGAAGATAATGGGTGAATGTGGATGTCAGGAATTTAGCTTCTACCTCCTTTAGCACCATTAGAATTTAATAGTACTAAAGGAGGTAAAGGCTTGGAGCTAGAAGCGACTATCTGGATGCAACCACACTCTACTTAAAATGTAATCAAATATAAAATATGAAAACTTAAAAAAAGTATAAGTCTTAATGGCCTGTCATTGTGCGTTCCTCTCCCGACCTGGTGGCAGCAGGTTTTTTTTTTTATTTCATCAATTAAATGTTGTTTTTTGCCTGGATATAACAAATGAATCCAGGCAAAACAACAACATTAAATAATAATAACAACAAGTATAAATAGCATAGTTTATAAGTCACAGTTGTGTATAAGGAAAACATGTTTAAGCACAAAAATAATCCATTATTAAGGTACGGTACAAGTGTGAAACAAAACCGGCATTTCAAGCAAAGCAATAACTCATCTATCGTGACAAGCAGACACTGGACCACTTCACAAAAAGTGTGTCATCATCAGGAAAATTGAGCAATACACCTTTAAGGATAACTGTGTAACTGCTTTGTACTGAACAGCATTTAAAATACAAACAGGATATAAAAACGCTTTAAGTTTTCAAAGCAACATCAAATATTTTAGCCCTGTGCAAAATATTTTGGCAGGTATCTAACTTCTTAACGCAAAACAAGGGTGAGGTTTAAGACTCCATTCAAAGTTCAGCTTCTAGTGAACACGAGGATTATAGTTCCTGACTTGTGCTGGAGAAGGCAGATAGGTTTCACACCGCACGGTTTGTATCTGGTGATTGTGGGGGTCCTTTGAACTGCACTCCTCGGCCCTTTTCCACCAGAGAACAAAGTAAACCTCAGAGCGTAATGGCAGCCGAACAGACGCACTCCGGCCCACATTGTGCTGTCAGGGCTGCATATTCGATGAACTGTCACCGCGATGGGACAAGTTCAAGTGCCTCTGTCAAAAATATGCTCCTCCATGTGTGTCTAGAATCCCCAAAAGCAAAGTCAAACTTGGCACTTTTAGGTCTGTCTTTCTGCAGACACCCTCCCTGCAGAATATTCTCACCCTTCCCACCCTACTCACCCTCATCAATGTCTTCTTATGCCACCTGTATTCTGCCTTTATTTCATCTATTCCTATTTCTATCACTTTTGACCAGGTTTTATTTTGCTATACTTTTGTAGTTTGAGTTTCCTCAATGTCTGTTGTTTGTTTTCTGTCCTAATGTAATTCACCTGAGTCTCCCGGTCTGTATTTATATCCTGTGCTTTTCCCAACTTGTTGTCCGTCCATTGTCCTGAGTCCGACCCAGTTTGTTCTTGTTTTCGGTTCTGGAATTTTGTTACTTTGGATTTGATTAAATTATACGTTATTTTTTACAGTCCTTCATTTTGGGTTCCTTTTTCACTTAACCTCGTGACAGAATGGAATAAAACCTGGTCAGAGGATCAAAAAATCCACATCATGACAATTTCTGTTTCAGTCTGTGGCCAAAACAGGTTTTCCAGGTCCAAGCAGCTTCTCAGCATGCACAAAGCAGCTTGCCCTTCACACTGGTATGAACGAGATGTCAAAAAGCCTTGGCATTTCCGAAAACCTAACAGTTACTAACGTAGGCCGAGGCTATTTTTAGAAACTGCATTATACTTTCCTCATGGAAGCCTAAAGCCATTATCTACAAATATAACTTGTCATTTCTTGTAAATACCTCTCCATTAATGACTAGTGCAAAGTTGATGCCCACTATTTCACTTAATAAAAATATTGCATCAAACAATTACTGATGCAACTTCACAATTAATTTGAGCAAGAAATTCCCAGAAAAGCATAACATGTTTACCAGGTCAAAGCTGAAACTGATTTGTAATCCGTCATAAAAGTTAATTATTAACCCTCAACAGATACAAGGGTTTAAAATGACAACGGCACAAAATCTCTGCACATTTATAAATAAAACGTATGGCCGATACATTTTTGACACCAAAACAAATTGTACCATACAAGTTATTGAACAATGAGGATTACAGGCAGTGTCTGCAGTATGGAGCCTGATGCATTTGCATTGCTGAGTTCCTGGTGTGTTGCTGGCCTCAGTTTCCATATTTTCTTTCCTCCATCTGACGCCTCCTTTCTGTTTCTAAGAAACAAGGTGCTGCAAAAAGGACTTGAGCCGGTCTTATCTCATGTGTCTGTTGTATCTATTTGAGAAGGCATTCATTATGTCATGTATATTGTGTATATTGTATATTGTATGTTGTCTACTGCAGAGAAGAAAATCAGTCTGAAGGGTCATCCACAGTTCCAGGTGATAACCATAGAGTGACAGAAAACATGTTGACAACAAGACAAACAATAAGCTTGTATATTATTATATATACATCTAGAGTAAGATGTTTGCTCCTTGAAGGATTTGAACTTTTACACTCAATACGACACCAATTTTCTGAGATTCTGAAGGTGAAGTTGGCTGGATGACAGTGTGAACTGTGTGTGATGTCTGCTCTGGGCTATTCTTTTGCAGACTTCTCAAAGTCATCCATATTAGATGCATGGATTATATTTCGACAATAAATTCTGCAGATTCAGAGATTAACGTACAGTATAACATGTCTACAGAGTGTACAACAGATTTATCTACAGATGTATACATACAAGTACATGTGTTTTACAGCACTATATAGGTTCAATCCTGTTATGTTTATACTTTGTTTCTTTATTAAGCTAAAAATATTTTTTAAGTTTGTTTTTTAATTTGGGTTTAATTTAATATTCACTTATCTTGTGACGTGTGATCCTCATTCCTACTGTTCTGCAACACTGACATGCTATGGGACGAATAAAGGATCTCTTAATCTTATTTTAGTTGAGATGAATATTGACTAAATGAGTTGGTGACGGACAGTATACTGTGTATACTGTGTATTCTGTGTATACTGTGTATACTGCCTCTACAGCCATCGCTTCCTATGGTACATGTACAATGTCAGATTTGATAAATACTACAGTTGCTGTACCTTGGCAGTTGCTCTCGCCTGGTACTCCGGACACCCATTTACCGTGATGGTTTCATGCATGTACTGATACACCTGAAAGAAAAAACACAAAATAGGTTCAACACACATTTAGGTCCAAATAAAATGGAAGAAATGAATTACTTCTAATCCCATCAATAAATGTTATGTATAATGCACTCTACCGTCACTGTAAGATTAATCAATTGATAAGAAGTCTGAATATGTTTTGATGTAAAGTGGAAAAGACCAAAGTGTGATATGGAGATTAATAGTGAAGCTGATTTTACTTTCTACAAAGGAAGTCCCACTGCTGAACCCTCCTAATGATTGATTGAATAATGTGTATCATTAAGACTTAATCCTGTGTCAAGGGAAACATCCCAGAGAGATTATTATCAGGTGCAGTGTTCTCTCTTGGGAAAGTATCTGCCACTCCTCACACCATCTCTTTTATATTAAGATGATGAAATAAATGTGTGCTTTCCTTGATAAAACTCTGAATTGTTTATATTGAGTCAACATAATGTTGAATAATAATTCCATTCCACAACTAGATCACAATAAAACACATAAAAGAAGATAAAATGTTACTGATCTCACAGTGGAGAAATTTACATAAGCTGCATCACTGTAGAGACCGCGGGGTTCACAGAACTTAAAAAAGTACCGGTTTATAGTCTAGCAAATGCGGTAATTAAATATTAACCCCCAAAATAAGTTCAAAAATAATAATTTAGTTATTTTTGTAGGTGCAGAATTCTTTTTACAAATTATCTATTTCTCTGTGGGAGGGAGTTGATAAGATCTCTTGAAAATTAGAATTTATCTCAAGACACTGGTTAAATAAAGCATAAATAAATAAAAAAAATAACTAATATTTTGGACATCTATTTTGTTTTTGGAATTGTTCTCCTTACATTTGCGCCTCATCAAGAGCTTTTTGGTGTGCCGTACACAATAATCTGAAAAATCAAAAACATGAATACATTTGGTCTCACAGACTGATAATGTTGGGTTGACCCATAACAAGTCCATTGTTATGGGTCTTTTCACCAATGTGAGTGTCTTGCCCAACAGCACCACATCTTAACTCAGTAGTTTTTATTTGTGAAGAAACTAAAGATTAACAATACATACTGACAGAAGCTACTTCTCTGAGCCATCTGAGAGTCACTCTGACATGCCAGCACAAGCACAGGAGGCAAACCGGGATTCAAAAGTACTGTCACTTAAATCTGTCAGGCGATTACAATCGAATTATAAAACATCCCAAATGTGAGGCATTGACTCACCTCGCGGATGGCTGTGCAGAACTCACTCTGGAGCACTTTCTTCAAGGACTGAAGTTTGTGACTGGGGACGTCTCCATTTTCCTGCAGCTTCTCCAGCAGCTCAATGGCCCGGGCAACATCTGCAGCACACAAAGACAAACATTATACGTGACATTTTAGAGAGACAGGAAACAATTTCTTTCAACTCAATCAGGAGTGCAGTCATGGTGAAGGTCCTGGGGAGTTAAATGTGAGGTATAAAGGACACAGTGTTTGGCAAAGCAGACAAAGCCTTTTTCAACATAAGCGAGCTGGAGCCAATTTCCTTATATGGGCATTTATTCCGACAGCATTAGATTTTCGCAGTAACAGGGGCAGACGTGTAGCTAAAATGGTTGCAGAGGCAAGCAGCGAATTAAGACATATGTCAATCCTTATATGGGTCAAATTTGGATTTAAAAATATAAACCCTTAGATCGCAGAGACCGCTAAAACATGGATTTTTTAAGCCCAAAATGGGGAGTGTGAAACGAGCTAATACTGAGCTAGAGGAGTTTACTTTTCAATATAAGTCAATAGAAGCCAGAGCGAGTTTAAAGCAAGGAAGGTGAGAGCTGCAGAGGGTACACGAGTGGTAGAAGGCTTAAAACAGGTTCTCTTCAAAGACAGGGCAATTCAAGCAGATTTTGTCAAAAAGAGAAAAAGTAGTCTGAGGTACTCCGTTGAAGTGAAAAAATAAAAGTCCTTTATTAAAATGGACTGCCTACTACGCGTTTCGACCAAAAGCGGTCTTCGTAAGGGCATGAAGCCAGAGCGAGTTGGAGCAAAACTTTGTCCATGAGAACTTCCCTATGCACTTTATTGAGCTAGCAGGTTAGCATTGTATACAGTCTAAGCTTGTCACTCAGCAAAAGGGTATAGATCAGGGTATAGATGAGGGTACACAGGAGGCGTTGAATAAGATCAGTGTATTTTGAAATAGGTGCACTTTTGGGCTTAAAGATATTTCGTTATCGTATAGATATTGATATATATTTTATGATTTCCCTTGAAACATACAAAGGTAAAAATCCTCCAGCTCCAGTAGTCCTGACCAAGCCGAGCATCAACACATGGAGATGGATCCCCGGGCGCGGAACTACGGCAACCACAGCTCCTGATAGAGACCCTCCAGGCTTTGCAGGATGGGTCAAATCAAATGCAGAGGACACATTTCCCTACGCGGAGGAAAAAAGTGTACCTTAACCTTAATATTGAATGCACCACTTCCTCCAGCGAACACAAACCTTATTTTAGACTTTCTGTAGATCAACGTCTAAAACCAACCAATGAAAATCACAGGTGAACAAGAGTTTGTAGTAATACTTTATCAAGATACATTTGGCATAAAGATTTTCAGCCCTTTAGCTTACGGTTAATAACATATCAACAAATTCAATAACGTCTAAAACACCATGTTTTATTTCCTCAAATCTGGAAACAAGCAGGCCTACGGTAAACTAGATATTAAGAAGGAATAACAGACTGTAAATACGCATAAATACGTACTTGTAGCGACATTAAGGGATTTTATGAATGCCTTAGTGACATTAAGGCATTTAAAAAGTCTTTCACACTTTTCCACATACGCACATTTGCAGCACCATTTTTCAATTATGTGGAGTATTTGTTGCTGATTCGTGATGTCAGCCTAGTGTGAAATGAGAAATGAATAAAAGGCCAAAGGAAAATAAGCCGGCTTACACCACTTCTACAGATTTATGTTACAAATGTTGTTTCCATCCCACTGCAATAAGGAACAGGAGGGAGTATTGATCGTAGAGGAGGGATTCAGATTCCATTTAGGACAGATTGTGGTTCACCAGGACATGTTTTCAGATTCAGATTCAGATTCATTTATTTGCCATTTGCAGTAAAACCACATTGGAAAACTGTGCAAGACTACCCCGGTGTTTTATTGACTGAAGAGAGCTGAAGCCTGAAGCTAAATTCATAGGCTGTGAATTACACTGATCAAATAATTTGTCAACGTTTAAAAAAATACTTCTCTCTGTTTTGTCTACGGCTGTAAATATGCGTAGTAAATATAGACTACCACCCCAAACAACACAGGATGAGATTATCTTATGTAAATGGTAAAACAACAATAGAATTACTTTTATTTACTTACTTTATTTAATTGAATAAAATTTCTTATGATATAAATGTCAGATTTGCACCAATAAGGAAGCCGTTTGTAAAGTTGACAAATAAACTCCCAGGAAGTTCTATTGCTTCATATACACGTTTAGAAAAACACCGTTATTCCTGCTGTGATAAAGGCGTCTGAGATTGTTCACGGTTGTGTCTGAGGCTGAATAATGAGGTGCTCCTCCAGCGAGGGCATCTGTCTGGAGCTATACAGACATTTCCCTCTCATTAAAAGAAGGTCATCTCCTCTCAGCGTTCACATGCTCATTAACGATATATATATATGCTTTTCTCCACTTTCATGAGTTTTCATTCAGCTCAAACACTAAAGACTTAAGTGAGACTCAATCTGATTCTGCAGCCCAGACTCGTAGATTGTGTTGTTATTATTATAGCAAGATCAAAATACCAGTTTTGTCAGCCCTATTTGAACCGTGAAAATAGTTTTGCTTGTGTGCAATAAACAGACACTGCATTTATTTATATAGTGTTTTGTTGTGTCACTTTTCCATCTCTTATTTGATAACCGAGTGATAATAATTCTAATAGGAAGACCTCACACTGGGCGGCTGTCATGTATGAAATGTGCAAAAAAAATACTCTTCCTACCAAACACGTCTCAATACCAACCAGTTACTTACATAAATAACGATAGATCAATGTTATGCTTGTTATGGGTAGCAAAAAGGTACGTTTTTCTTAGTGCGGGAGTCGACAGTCGCTCAAAGCTGAGAAAGGGCTTTTTGCCAATCAATCTATAAAAAAACTATCTATTTTAGTGAAGAGGTTCAACTATAAATGTTCAGGCATGGCCCCATCCCAACTGGTGAAAATGACAGAGAGGGCTGGGATCGTGTCTCAGCAGAAGACGAGGAGAGTTTAACAGCGTTCACATGGTTTTATATCGAGGGGCAATTTACGGAGGTTCTCCTAAGCATCCGCCACGTCGCCAATAGATGCGTTTGCTTTGACCTTCAGGTAACCGGAACGACAAGTGGCAAAGTATTGACTTCTGTGTACAGTTGTGATGTAGAAGCAGTCAAGCACTTTCTTAACGTAATTGCACAAAAGTCTTGTAAAAGATCCATACAATATAATCCATCAGATATATTATAGAGTACACACAACATTCAATAAATACAGATACACAGAGTTAGGCTTGGTTTAGTCTTATGGTGTCTGGAAAAAAGCTTCTTCAGTTTTGTCTTTGAGGAGATGTCAGCAATGTGATCAGTTTACTTTATTATTTTATTGACCTTCATAAGCAGAAAAGTCCAACTGAGATTGCAGACTCTTTTTATCAGAGGAGTCCTGAGAGAACATGCAAACTCCACACAGAAATACCTGGAGGAGGAATCAAATCCAGGAAGCACAAGCGCCACTATGCCACGCAGGGTAAAGGTATAGTATATATATCCTTTTGAAATATATTCTCACCACTCCTCACAGATAATATTTATACATTTAATCAGGGGTGTCCAAACTTTTTAGTAAGAGGACCACTTTAGTTCATCAGACTTGACTTGGGGCCGACGACCTGGATTTAAAAACTGGATTTGACCTGGATTGACTGGATGCTGGAATTTAAAATGGGTTATGATAGGTCCTTATTGATTCACAACACAGCTGCATTGAATGTTGTGACACAATCATAAAACAAATGACAGCATATAACAATAGAGTCAACGACTGTTCCAGAGGGTCTGAGATTTACAACATGACTTTTTTATAGCATTTTTATTTATAGCATGACTGTATTGGTGGAGCTGAAGTTGGTTGGATGACACTGTCAATGTGCCTCAATGGCAACTTTGTGTTAGCAAAAGAGGGCCACATAAAATGAAACAGAGGGCTGCAATTGGCCCGCGGGCCTGAGTTTGGACATGCCTGCCTTAAATCAACATATGCAAAAAACACAGCAGACGATGCTTTCCGCACGCAAACGTTTTATTTCCACAGACTACAGATCACGATACGAGATGAGACGGGGTTGTACAGAACACATCTGATTAAGTGCCAAATGTGTGCGAAATTATTTATAGCCGACTATGCAGAACAATCTCATTCGTTTTCTATTTCACAGTCGCTGCCACTCTCTGTTATGAAGTAATTTGAATTATCACCATGCATATGATGTTCGAAGGACTTGTCAGGGACAGGGCTCTGGATCAAATGATGATCAAGATTCAAAATGAGTGGTTTCTAAAAGTCAAGCATCAGCCTATTTTTAATGGAGAGGTTCAAGTCAAGTCTGAGTGATGCAATTTTGAAATATGACGAGAAATAAAGAATCATACTTTGAGTGAGACAGAGCCGCTGAAATTAAATATGGCATACAGTAACAATCTTTCAAGGTTATTAAGAATGACGCAGATGTGGCTCAACAAAGTGTATTATTACTTAACTGTCTGGCCTGGCACTAAGCATGGAAACATCCGTGCTGACCCGATCAACTCACGGCCGTGCAAGTGAATGGTACAATTATGACCAATGCTAAAAACATGGTTTTAGGCTGTACACTACCATTTATGTTTTCCAATGAAAATTATTATGATTTCAAAATGACAGACTGCTCTCGCCTATCAGGATGACACTGCACAGAAGGAGATCATGTCTAACAATATCAGCATAATTTGTCATGCTTAACTGTTATCAAGTCTGGACTGTAAAAATGGTTGTAAAATGTCAAAGTATAAAGTAACAATCTACAAAAGGATGCAGCCTCTAACTTGACCACTACCTCCACTGTTTCTGGGTCTATTAGCTGAGAGCAATCAGTTCTTTAACGGACTACCCTTGTTATTAATGTGAAATACCAGAACTCAAAATTAAGCCAATAAATGAAAAACTTAAAAAAAGAGCTCTGAGACCACAGAGAAACATTGATAAGTTGGTCAGTTATCCTCAGGCTAAAAAGTCGAGGGAAGCTTGTTTGTTCGAGATACTTCTA